CAAGGTGGACATGAAGGAGTCTTATGAGACAGAAGCCAGCACTTTGTGAGTACTGGGCCCTGGCTTTCAGCAATGCCAGCATGTCAGCCTGGCCCCCCTCCCCTGTCAGGCTCCCTCCATTCTCCCTTGCTGGCCACCCTCCCCTCCCGCTGTTGGGCCCCATTCCTCTTGCTGGGCCCCCTCCCCTTCATCAGCCCCTCAACCCCTCCCCCCGAGTCCAGCCTTCATAGGCTTTCCAGCTCGCAGGCTCCCCAAGGTTGCGCTACCGGTGAGCTCGTCGATCTGTGAGAGCGTGCTAGGCTCCATGTCGCTGATCCCCTCGTGTCTTCCTCTGTCCCACTCCCTGTGCCCCTCCCTCCACCTTCTCCAGACCCTCGCCCCATGCCCGGGCAAGCTGACCTCCCTTTCCCGTCACCTGCCCTGACTCCCACCGCGGGGCACCCCTGGCACTAACTGGGTGCTTGCAGGGTGTCGTGGGTGCAGGTACGGGGCAGGGGTCGAGGAGCTGCCTGCCCATGGCTCGCGTCCTTGCAGCTCCTTCCCTGAGTGTGCGCACGCAGGCGGCGTCTCGCCCTTGTCCTTCTGCATGCAGACGGCACCCCATGCCAAGACGGTGAGCGAGAGCGAGCTGAGCGCCACGGCCGCCGAGCTGCTGCAGGACTACATGCTCACGGTACCCTGCCCACTGCGGGCGCCTTAGTCGTAGAAGTTCCTGAAGGAGGCGAGGGGGGGGAGGAGGAGGAGGAATGGGGAGGAGGGTGAGCGAGGGTACCTTGCTTATGTCTCCATCCTCTTCGCCAGGCATCACTGCCTTTCCTGCTGGGACAGTCATTGGGGAGCACTTGGGTTGGTGTGGGGGCTGCTCTGGCCACTGGGGCTTGACCACAGGTCTGTCCCTGGGTCTCAGATGGTGAACGGTGGCAGAGGGACTGGATGCTCCCTGGAAGGGCTGGATGGGGCGTCTCATTGTTCAGCTGACTTTCCCTCTGTCCCCTGACCTCATGTGGTCTTGCCCTTGAAAATTCAGTCTCCTGGCCCACACGTGTCCCCCAGATGGTGTGGGCATTGCTCTGGGCCCAAGGACACCAGTAAACAGACCCCTGGCAGTGGTGCAGCCGCGCTCCCTCTGCCCTGCTCCTGGTGAGATTAGGGCAGACGGCATGGGCTCTTCTTGGGTCCCTGCGACCCTCTGCGCAGGTGTAGGGGCCTTGACCTGTGGCACTCTTCTTCCTCCGGTCACCGGGTCCTGTCTGGTGTCCCACTCTCTCTCTGTAGCTGCGCACCAAGCTGTCCTCGCAGGAGATCCAGCAGTTCGCTGCACTGCTTCACGAATACCGTGACGGGGCCTCGGTGCATGAGTTCTGCATCAACCTGCGGCAGCTCTACGGGGACAGCCGCAAGTTCCTGCTGCTGGGTGAGTCCTGGGATGGACGGGCACCTGAATTGCGGGCCGGGGCTCTGATAGGAAAGGGGGTTCCAGCCATTAAGGCCCAAGTGATTCTGGCCAGAGGGCTCTTCCCAGTGCCTGGCAGGAGCTCGTCCTCTGGGGAGCAGCAGAGGGCCCCACAGAAGCTAGACTGAGAAGCCAGGAGCTGTGCACTGGCCACATGAGGGCTAAGGGGGCTCTTCAAAGGAGGTGGTGCTTGAGCTGGTTTTGATGGATGAGTAGAAGAAGAGAACGTGGCATTTCTCAGTGGAAGGACCAGCTTTTGCTGAGGCGGTGAGGCCCCAAGAGCTCAGTATGTTGGGCCAGCATGGCAGGCGGGGTGGTCAGGGCCTGCCGCCCATAGCTGGGATGTGGCACTGGACGTCTGCCCACACCCACGAGGACAGGGGCAGGGCTGTGCCTTCCCTCTGCTGACTCCAGAGAACATGGCTGGTTGAAGGTGGCTGGTGGAGGCTCCTGGGTCCTGGGCTCCTCCTGCAATAATCCAAGCAGGGTGTGTTGTACCCGCACTGGCTGCCACCTGAGGGCTCTGCTCGCAGGGGGATAAAGGGCTAAAGGCTGGACCTGCTGCCTCCAGTGAGCTCTTGACGACTTCATGGCCTCCCTGGGGTCAGTCGCCCAGCCAGGGCTTAGATCCAAGGGCCTTGACCCCCAGCTCATAGTGTTCCTTTCAGTCTTGTTCTCACATAGGAGGGTGCCTCTTGTACGGAAATGGGTGGTCCTCCAGAGGTGGAAGCGCAGCTGGGCGGTGGGGGCCTATTGCTCCGAGCTCCACCTCCCCTCACCTTGGAAACTTGTGAACTGGGACTTCTGCGAGGACTGGTGGGAGTGAGGGTAGACATGGGGCGGGGTCCTCTGGGTCATGGATGTGCTTCCTGTGGGTCAGGCGAGTGGTGTGTCTGCAGGTCTGCGGCCCTTCATCCCTGAGAAGGACAGCCAGCACTTCGAGAATTTCCTGGAGACCATCGGGGTGAAGGATGGCCGAGGTATCATCACGGACAGCTTTGGCAGGTACCGGCGGGCCATGAGCTCCACCTCCACCTCCAATGGGAACAGGGCCGCAGGCAGCTCTGATGACCAGTCTGTGCCCTCAGAGGGGGACGAGTGGGACCGCATGATCTCAGACATCAGCAACGACATCGAGGCACTGGGCTGCAGCATGGACCAGGACTCTGCCTGACGACGCCGGGAGGGACCCCGCGCATCTGCCCTTCCTGTGCCGGGGCTGGGGCCAGCCGAAGGGCCCCAGGCACAGGTGGCCCTTTACTGTGAAGAACGCGCCCCAGTGAGGGGGCAGAAGGCTGCACCCTGCCGCCTGCCTGCGGCCCCACTTTGGGAGGGGCTCCCTCGGCCAGACCTCGGACAGCTGTCGATTTTGCACATGACGTTCCTATTGAAATTCCCAGAGACCTTAAAAGAAGTTTACTGCAATGTGAATAACTTACCTCTGGTGGCCAGTGTGTTTCTGACCCAGTGGGGTGAGAGCGGCGGCCTTTGCTCTGGCCTCTGTCCCAGGCCTGCATGCCCGGGGCTGGGTACGGTGGTCTGGGGGCCAGGCTGCCCTTTGGCTCTGGCCCCTGCAGGGAGCTGGGCCGGGCTCAGTGGCAGGGGAGGCCACGGGGAGGACGTGATGTGGGCTTTTGCTTTGTGGACATGGGGTGCAGGAGTCTTGGGGACATGTGGTTGTGAGTGGCAGGCAATGGCTATTGGGACCCAGGCACTGGGCTCTCCAAGGGGCGCTGGCTCTGTTCTAGCCTCACCCAAGTTCCCAGGTCTCACCTGCCATTGCGGTGGTTTCCAGAGCAAACCCTGTACACCTCCCACCCCACCAGAAGTGCCATCCGCATCCTGAAAGCGTGTTATCTTGGAGCCTGGGTCCCATTTCCAGGGGGCCCTCCTCAATCCCCTGGGCTCGGCTCCTCCTGTGCCCTTGAGACATGGGGAGGTAATGGGGATGACCGCAGGGCAGGGGCCTCAGTTTGGGAGCTGGGCCTGGAGATTGCAGTGTGCAGGCGCGGGCAGGCCCAGCTCTGGGACTCCCTCCTCACCTGGAAGGTGCCTTCATCCTGCAGACCCCCTCCCAGTTTCCTGTACAAGCTCTGGCTGAGCTGGGGGGGCGTCTGGCCCCAGGGAGGGAGGGTAGAGCCCTGGTCTCATGTGTGGGACCAGGCAAGGGTCTGCAGTCCCTCAGGCTCCCTCCTGCAGAGGGGCAGGGCAGGACAGGAGGAAGAACCTCAGACTGCTCTGGCCAGGATGTCTGAGAGCTGTTCACGAGCAGCCCAGGCCGGGCAGAGCTAAGGGAGACACTTGGTAGATACTGTCTCTAGACACGTGTGCAAATCGATCTGCCCTGGAAGCATTTGGGACAGCGAAAGACAGCCACAGCCCAGGGCTGGCCCCTCTAGAGCCCAGCCTGTGCCTGAGCAGTGGGACCTGTAGTGGGATTGCATGAGCCTTCTGTGCAGATGGTCAGGACTGCTCCTGCCCCTTCAGGGGCCCCCACCCACATGTGGGCCCCCACTACAGTCCCTCACCCTGTCCTGGGACATGGCCCCCACTCTCTGGGTCTCTAGACTTTGGAGAAAAGAGGACATAGGCCGGAGTGAGGGGCCAGGAACTTTGAGGATTAACCACTGGCCCCCTGAGCAAATGCGGTTTTCCTGCAGCTTCTCCAGTGCAGGTGCCCTTGTGGAAACTTCTAGGGTCTCCTACATCTGGGGACATCCACCTGGAAACTCCAGTCCCAAGGCCCATGCATTGAGTCACAGACAGGTGACCAGACTGCCTGCAGTCTCTAGGCAAATCAGGCACCCCAGGACATAAGGGGAGGACCACCACCCTTTGGGAACACAGTAGAGGGCCCCCACCCTCGGGGGACAAAAGAGAAGGATGACCACCCTCTGGGACATGCGGGGAGAATCACCACCCTCTGGGGATGGGGAAGGAGGACCACCACTCTGTGGGGACATGGGGGAAAGACCATCACCCTTGGGGACATGGAGGCGGGGACCAGCACCCTCTGGGGACATAGGGGAAAGACCACCACCCTCTGGGGATATGGGGGGGGGACCACTGTCCTCTGGGGATATGTGGGGGAGGACCACCACCCTCTGGGGACATAGGGGAAAGACCACCACCCTCTGGGGATATAGGGGGGGACCACTGCCCTCTGGGGATATGGGGGGGGAGGACCACTGCCCTCTGGGGATATGTGGGGGAGGACCACCACCCTCTGGGGATATGGGGCGAGGACCACCACCCTCTGGGGATATGAGGGGAGGACCACCACTCTGGGGACACGGGGAGAGGGCCAGCACCTTCTGGGGACACGAGGGGAGGACCACCACACTCTAGAACCTTCTGGGGACACGGTGGGGAGGGCCATGACTCTGGGGACATGTGGGAAGGACCACCACCCTCTGAAGATGTGGGGGTTGGACCACCACACTCCTTGGGTTCTGTGTAGCCTCTGGAAATGTCTTCACGCCGCCTCAAATCCTGCTCAGCCAGAGCCTGTGCTTGGGGAGCAGTTGGAGCAGGAACAGAGAAACAATGAGGGAAGACTCATTTATTGAGCAGCAGAGCTGAGGGGCAGGGATGGAGTTGGGTCACTGGTCAGCGGCTACATTGTCAGCTCCTGCAGGAAATGTAGAAAGAGAGGGTCACATGGGAGAGGCCCCAGCAGAGCCAGCCAGGGTGTCTGCGAAGGGGCCTAGTCACTCACCATGATGGCGTTTACGATATCGCTCTGGTTGTCCCTCAGGGCCCGCACAGCCTTGGCCCTCGACACATTGGCCTGCGCCATCACCAGCTCAATGTCCCGCAGCTCCAGCCCCGCCTCGTCCACCTGGAGGGCGGCAAGCAGGAGCTGCTGGAGCTGCCCCCCCCCCCCCCCCCCCCCCCCCCGAGTCTCTGAGGGCCCACCCCCCCACCCCCGACCCTGTGGACCTCCCCTAGACCCCCACAGGCAGTGCTCCCCCAGACCGTACAGGCAGAACTCCCCTAGGCCAAGTCCCCCCAAGCAGAGCCTCCCCGCCTGCATGCCTGAGGCAGGGCCCAGCATCCCTGGGCCTCACCTCCTCCTCCTCCTCGTCCCCTTCTTCCTCCTCGCATGGCCTCACATGCGGCCCGGGTGCAGACTCAGGGACCAGGGCAGAGGGCTCCGCGGGCACCTTGAACTTCTCGGCGGCGGCTCTGTGCACTTGCTGGGACAGGTCCTCAATCTGTAGCACAGGGCACAGCTGTCAGCCAAGTCCACACCCCCAGCCCCTGCCCGTGCCCGCGGCCAGTCGAACCTTGGCCTCTCCGAAGACCACGTAGGTGTCCGAGGCCGGGCTCTTGAAGACGTCGGGCTTGGCGATGACGAAAAGGATGTTTTTGGACTTCTGGATGGTGATCCTGGTGACCCCCTGGATCTGCCGCAAGCCCAGCTTGGACATTGCCTGGGGGCACAAGGGGCTCAGACCTGGGTGTCAGCCCCAGGGGTCCCAGTGGGGGGTGGGGGGAAAGGAGCAGGCCCAGGGGCAAGCAGCACACTGCTAGGGGATGAGCGCTCTGCCAACTCCTGGGGACCATCTCTGGATGTAAGCAGACTTCTTTGGACCTTGGGCAGCACTCCATGGGACTCCTCATGGGACCCCTACAGTCGTCTCTGGGACCCCAGGCAGCCCCCCCCTTGTGTACAGTAGGGCATTGGACTCAGGCTGAGAGGGCCACCTCAACTGACATGCAGGCCCCAGCTGTTTCACAAGGTGTTCACTACTGAATTCCCCAAGGACCCCCACTGGTAGGATTCATTAGCCATGGGGTGAGAGGGGTCCCCTTGTGCAGCCAGGCCCCCAGCCCACCTTTCGGGCCTTCTTCTCACTGCGACTCTGCTTGGCTTTGGCGACGGTCTCCTCGCTGCCACTGCCTGCTGCAGCCTGGGGAAGGGTGGGGTCTGAGCATCCGAGGGTGGGTGTGGAGCCTTCCCAGGGGCGCACCCTCCCCCCTGGGCCAGGCACCTGGGCTGGGCACTGCGCACTCTGCGGTCCTGAGAAGTTCTCCTCCAGCTCGGCTGATGACTCCCCGTGGCTGTCTGAGTGCTGGCCTGAGCCCGGTGCTCGTGGTGAGTCTGGGGACAGGAGAGGTGTGAGGACAGCTCTGCACCATGGAGCAGGAACCCCTCTGGCCCACCCCACTGCCTCTGGTCCTGCTGCTCAGGACAGCGCTCCAGCCCGGGGTCCCCCTCACCTTCCTCCAGGCTGTCCTGGTCGTCCTGATGCTCAGTAGCTGGGAGCCCTCGAGGGCCGGCTGGGCTCCAGGGCCCAGAGCCAGGAGGCACTTGGCAGGGGGGTGAGAGCTGTGAGGCCAGGTCTTTGGCATGGCTGCCCCTCTTGGAGGCTGCCTTGGGGCTGAGAAGGGGGGCGTGGGGCGGGAGGGTGACTCGCTGTCCGGCCCCCGGGAGGTTTGTGGTTCCTGAGAAGGCAGCCACCGCCCGCTGGGCTCCTGCCTTGGGGGATGGGAGGCTTGGAGAGCCCGGGGGCTCCTCACCCTCCATTGAGTCTTCCCGGGGGCCCTGACAAGGGCAGGGGCCAGGGAGCGCCATGGGAGGCGGGGCTGCCTCCACGAGGACACCAGCAGCAGAGGGCTCAGAGCCCAGGATACTGTCCTGGGGCGCCCTGGGCAGGCCCCCCGTGGGGCTTTCTAGGGACTGTGGTGGGAAGGGGCCGGGGATTCTGGGTGCTGCCTGGGCCCGCTGGCTACTGCCCAGGCTCAGAACAGGCTCTGGCTGCCAGGAGGGAGGTGGGGATGTGGGGGCAGGCTCTTTGGGGTAGCCCTCACCCAGCCTGGGCACAGCCCTCAATGGAGGCTCTGCACAGGAGCCCAGCCAGGCCTCTGAGGCCACAGCCCCTGGAAGCCGGGGCTCCGGGGTGGCCCTTCCCTCCTCCACTGGGCTTGGGGGCTGTGCCTGGCTGACCTCGGGGCAGGCAGCAGGACACCCCTCTGGGCTGCTGCTCCTGGGAGCCTTCCCGGCACCCTGCGGCCTTGGCTTAAGGCCTCCACTCCACTGGTTCTTGGCCCCCTGGGCCTCCTTTGGCAGCAAGTGGGGCTCAGCTCCACCACCAGTGTGCACGCCGGCATCAGGACAGGCTCTCCACTCGGGCACCAACACATCCTCAGCTACTTCCTTTCCACTGGAGGCACGCTCAGGGGTGTCCAGGGCCTCCGTGGCAGGCTCGGGGGTGTCCAGAGTCTCCGTGTCAGGCTCAGGGGTGTCCAGGCCCTTCGTGGGAGGCTCAGGGGTGTCCGGGGCCTCCGTGGCAGGCTCAGTCGTGTCCAGGGCCTCCGTGTCGGGCTCTGGGGTGTCCAGGGCCTTCGTGGCAGGCTCGGGGGTGTCCAGGGTCTCCATGTCGGGCTCAGGGGTGTCCAGGGCCTCCGTGTCGGGCTCAGGGGTGTCCAGGGCCTTCGTGGCAGGCTCGGGGGTGTCCAGGGTCTCCATGTCGGGCTCAGGGGTGTCCAGGGCCTCCGTGTCGGGCTCAGGGGTGTCCAGGGCCTTCGTGGCATGCTCGGGGGTGTCCAGGGTCTCCATGTCAGGCTCAGGGGTGTCCAGGGCCTCCGTGTCGGGCTCAGGGGTGTCCAGGGCCTTCGTGGCAGGTTCAGGGGTGTCCAGGGCCTTCGTGTCAGGCTCAGGGGTGTCCAGGGTCTCCATGTCAGGCTCAGGGGTGTCCAGGGCCTCCGTGTCGGGCTCAGGGGTGTCCAGGGCCTTCGTGGCAGGTTCAGGGGTGTCCAGGGCCTTCGTGTCAGGCTCAGGGGTGTCCAGGGTCTCCATGTCAGGCTCAGGGGTGTCCAGGGCCTCCGTGTCGGGCTCAGGGGTGTCCAGGGCCTTCGTGGCAGGTTCAGGGGTGTCCAGGGCCTTCGTGTCAGGCTCAGGGGTGTCCAGGGTCTCCGTGTCGGGCTCAGGGGTGTCCAGGGCCTTTGTGGCAGGCTCGGGGGTGTCCAGGGTCTCCGTGTCAGGCTCAGGGGTGTCCAGGGCCTTTGTGGCAGGCTCAGGGATGTCCAGGGCCTCCGTGTCGGGCTCAGGGGTGTCCAGAGCCTCCATGTCAGGCTTAGGGGTCTCCAGGGCCTCCGTGGCAGGTTTGGGGGTGTCCCCGGCCTCTGTGTCAGGCTCGGGGATGTCCCTGGCTTCCATGGCAGGGGTGTCCATGGCAGGCTCGGGGGTCTCCAAGTCCTCTGTGTCAGGTTCAGGGGTGTCCCTGGCTTCTGTGATAGGCTTGGGAGTGTGCAGGCCCTCCGTGTCAGGTTTGGGGGTGTCCGGTCCCTCTGTGTCAGGCTCAGGGGTGTCCAGGGCCTCCGTCTCAGGCAGGGGCGTTGCCAGGGCCTCCATGTCAGGCTCAGGGGAGTCCAGGGCCTCCATGTCAGGCTCAGGGGTGTCCAGGATGTCCACGTCAGGCTTGGGGGTGTCCAGGGCCTCCATTTCAGGCTCGGGGGTGCCCAGGATGTCCACATCAGACTCGGGGGTGTCCGGGCCCTCCATGGCAGACTTGGGGGTGCCCAGAGCCTCCATGTTATGGTCAGGGGTGTCCAGGGCCTCCGTGGCAGGCTCAGAGGTGTCCAGGGCCTCCATGTCAGGCTTGGGGGTGTCCGGGCCCTTCATGGCAGACTTGGGGATGCCCAGGGCCTCCATGTCAGGCTCAGGGTTGTCCAGGCCCTCCGTGGCAGACTTGGGGGTTCCCAGGGCCTCCATGTCAGGCTTGGGGGTGTCCAGAGCCTCCGAGTCAGGCTCAGGGGTATCCCAACTCTCCATGGCAGACCTGGGCATGGCCAGGCCCTCCTTGTCATGCTTAGGGGTGTCCAGGCCCTCTGTAGCAGATTTGGGGGTGTCCAGGGCCTCTGTGGCAGGCTTGGGCGTGTCCAGGGCCTCCATGGCAGATTTGGGGGTATCCAGGGTCTCCGTGTCAGGCTCAGGGGTGTCCAGGGCCTCTATAGCAGATTTGGGGGTGTCCAGGGCCTCTGTGTCAGGCTCGGGGGTGTCCAGGGCCTCCATAGCAGATTTGGGGGTGTCCAGGGCCTCTGTGTCAGGCTCAGGGGTGTCCAGGGCCTCCGTGGCAGGTTCAGAGGTGTCCAGGGCCTCGGTCTCAGGCATGGGTGTGTCCGAGCTCTCTGTGGCAGACTTGGGGGTGCTCAGGGCCTCCGTGTCACGCTCTGGGATGTCCAGGCCCTTTGAGGCAGGCTCAGGGGTTCCAAGGGCCTCTATGTCAGGCTCAGGGATGTCCAGGCCCTCTGTGTCATGCTCAGGGGTATCCAGACTCTCTGTGTCATGCTCAGGGGTGTCCAGACGCTCTGAGGCAGGCTTGGGGGTACCCAGGGCTTCCTCATCATGCTCAGGGGTGCCCAGGACTTCCTTGTCATGTTCTGGGGTGTCCAGGCCCTCTGAGGCAGGCTCGGGGGTGTCCAGGACCTCCTTGTCATGCTTGGGGGTGTCCAGGCCCTCTGAGGCAGGCTCGGGGGTGTCCAGGACCTCCTTGTCATGCTTGGGGGTGTCCAGGCCCTCTGAGGCAGGCTTGGGGGTACCCAGGGCTTCCTCATCATGCTCAGGGGTGCCCAGGACTTCCTTGTCATGTTCGGGGGTGTCCAGGCCCTCTGAGGCAGGCTCGGGGGTGTCCAGGACCTCCTTGTCATGCTTGGGGGTGTCCAGGCCCTCTGAGGCAGGCTCGGGGGTGTTCAGGACCTCCTTGTCATGCTTGGGGGTGTCCAGGCCCTCTGAGGCAGGCTTGGGGGTGTCCAGGACCTCCTTGTCACACTCAGGGCTGTCCAGGCCCTCTGAGGCAGGCTTGGGGGTACCCAGGGCCTCCTTATTGTGCTCAGGGGTGCCCAGGACTTCCCTGTCATGTTCGGGGGTGTCCAAGGCCTCTGAGGCAGGCTTGGGGGTGCCCAGGACCTCCTTGTCACACTCAGGGCTGTCCAGGCCCTCTGAGGCAGGCTCAGGGGTGTCCAGGACCTCCTTGTCATGTTCGGGGGTGTCCAGACCCTCTGAGGCAGGCTTGGGAGTACCCAGGGCCTCCTTATCATGCTCATGGGTGCCCAGAACGTCCTTGTCATGTTCAGGGGTGTCCAGGCCCTCTGAGGCAGGCTCGGGGGTGTCCAGGACCTCCTTGTCATGTTCGGGGGTGTCCAGACCCTCTGAGGCAGGCTTGGGGGTACCCAGGGCCTCCTTATCATGCTCATGGGTGCCCAGGACTTCCCTGTCATGTTCAGCGGTGTCCAGGCCCTCTGAGGCAGGCTCAGGGGTGTCCCGGACCTCCTTGTCATGTTCGGGGCTGTCCAGACCCTCTGAGGCAGGCCCTGGAGTGTCCAGGACCTCCTTGTCATGCTTGGGGGTGTCCAGGCCTTCTGAGGCAGGCCTGGGGGTGTCCAGGACCTCCTTGTCATGCTTGGGGCTGTCCAGGCCCTCTGAGGCAGGCTCAGGGGTGTCCAGGACCTCCTTGTCATGTTCAGTGGTGTCCAGGTGCTCTGAGACAGGCTCGGGGGTACCCAGGACCTCCTTGTCATGCTCGGGGGTGTCCAGGCCTTCTGAGGCAGGCTTGGGGGTACCCAGGACCTCCTTGTCATGCTCGGGGGTGTCCAGGGCCTCTGAGGCAGGCCCGGGGGTGTCCAGGACCTCCTTGTCATGCTCCGGGCTGTCCAGGCCTTCTGAGGCAGGCTTGGGGGTGCCCAGGACCTCCTTGTCATGCTTGGGGGTGTCCAGGCCCTCTGAGGCAGATTTGGAGATGTCTGGGGCTTCTGTGTCAGGCTCAGCAGGGTCTGGGGCCTCTGTGGCAGGACTGAGGCAGCCCGCATCTTCCTGTGAGGCCCAGGGTATTTCAGCATCTGCAGCTTGCTCTGGGCTGCCCTGTTGGGCCTGGTCCAAGGCTGGAGGCTCTGGGCCTCCAGTGTGGCCTGCGTCCCTATCGTCAGGAGCTGGCCTCAGTCTCAAGGCCTTGTCTCCTTCCCGCCGGGCCGAGGTTGCCATGGGCTCAGTACCTGGGAGGCAGCTTGCATCTGTCTGCAGGGCCTGATAGCTGGCCGCAGCAGCAGGCCCCTGGCCTGAGGGGAGGCCTGCATCCTGCAGGGGCAGGGGTGTGGCCAGATCCACTTCTCCAGGCTGTGGCTCAGGGCTGGCTGCAGCAGCAGGCCCCTGGCCCGCTTCCTCCTTCAAATCCTGCGGAGAGTCTGGGCTTGGCAGGAAACCCGCCACGCCCTGTGCAGTCCGAGGCTCCAGGCCTAAGGTGGCATCGTCTCCCTCCTGCAGGGGCTGAGGTGTGGCTGTGGCGACAGGCCCTGGTCCTGCAGTGGAATCTGCCTCTTTCCCCAGGGCCTGAGGGGTCAGCCCGGTGAGGCCAGGGCCTTCCTGTGGGGCGTGCGGGGCCACAGCCGCAGTGGATGCCTGGCCTAAAGCGGGCTCCGCCCCAGCTATTTCAGCAGCAGTTTCCTGGCTCTCAGTGGCATGGCTGGCCTCTCCCTCCAAGACCCCAGGAGCGCACTCCGGGCCCCAGGACAGGGCCTCGTCAGGGCTGTTCTGGAGCAGAGCGGTGGGCTGGGCGTGGGGCTCTCCGCTGTACAGCCTCTCGTCATCTGCCCCTGTGTAGGAAGCCGAGTCGGGGTCAGAGGAGGCCGCCGAGGTGTCGTCTCGGAAGGCAAAGGCCTCATCCATGCCCTCAGTAATGGAGAGGTCAGACAGCGACTGCAGGGAGGAGGCAAAAGTGCTGTCGTCCTCGCCCTCCCCGGCCAGGTCCCCTCCAGGGGCAGGGGCCTCCTCCTCCTGTTCCCCCTCCTGTTCTTCCTCTTGTTCCGCCTCCTCTCCCTCGGGGGGCAGCGGCGTCACCTCTACTGCCTCCACCTCGAAGATCAGGCTGCCCCGGAAGGGCAGGAGGGCGGCGGGGATCATTGGGTCGTTGGCCAGGAAGTCCAGCTCGAAGAAGTGGCCCTCCTGGCCCCAGGAAGAGCTGCTGTCTGCCGAGAGGCTGGACTCTGAGGACAGGGAGCCCGGGGGCCCAGCAGGGGGCAGCTCCTGCTCGTCCGCCATGGACCCCAGCTGGGAGAAGCCCCAGCCCGAGGGGATGTCCAGCCCCTCAGCCGGGGACAGCAGGCTCAGGGAGCAGGATGGGGACGAGGCCCAGCTGTCCCCATCCGCTGTGATGTAGGAGCCTGAGGGCGAGGCCGGTGGTGAGGCAGGTGGCGAGGCAGGTGGTGAGCCCCCTGGCTCAGCCTGGGCATCCCGGGCGTCCCTGCAGGGCCCAGCGCTGCTCCTGGGGAGCAGGGCAGAGGCTGTCTCGGTGGGGGTGGAGGGAGGTGTGAAGTAGGAGTCAGGGTCCAGAGCAGGGAAAGGCACAGGAGGGTCACCCTGAGAACACAACTCGGGGGGTGGGTTCAGGCTGGCGTGCCCACCCTCCCAGTCCCTGAGCTCTGGCAGGGCTGCCCTGGACGGTGGGAGTGCGCGGTGCGTCTCCTCGCCCATCACAATCCGGGGCTCCAGGGTGGCTAGGAGAGGACCCTCGGCAGGTCGAACCTCGGGGGGCCCTGGGCTGGGGCCGCCTTCCGTGGGGACTGCCCAGGCTGAGGGGGTGCCCGGTCCTGCATCCCAGCTGGCTCCCTCTGGTGGGGGCCTGGCTCCTGGCTTGTTGGGCAGGAACGTGAGGGCCAGGGCACTGGGCCCGGGGGTCAGGGCACAGTGCTCCAGCTGGTCCCCTCTCGGGGTGGTGGCCGCAGCTGCATCGCAGGACAGATCTGTGGAGAGAGGAGGGTGTGAGGAGGGCAGCATCCTCACTGAGAAGCGGCCCCCAGGCCACAGCCGTCCCTCCCTCAGCCCAGAGCTGAGCACAGGGCTGGGGCCCCGGGGGTGTTGGCTGAAAAGGGAGAGCAGGAGAGGGAGAGGGGATTGCTGTGTCTGGGTAAAATTTCCAAGCTCTCTGACCACCATGAGCAGCGTGGGGTCACAATGCGTGGGGTGTGGCTGTGGGCACAAAGGGGCGCCCTGGCTTTTCTCCGAGATGCTCCATAAAGATGAAACTAGCATCTGTCTCCTCGGACACTGGCTTGCTGCCTCCCTGCAATTAATCTGTGCCGCAGCCTCTGCTGAGCTTGGCAGGGCAGGCCCTCTCATGACCTCCCAGGTCAGAAGGGCCTCAGGGGGCGGGGGCAGGGGCCTGCATTGCTCAGCTCTGGAACATTCCAGGTCTCATGCCTGCTGTGAAGTGGGAGTCCCGCCTCTCTGCCTCATCCCTCTGCTCTTGCTGCCTCCACCTGAGGCCAATTGTCAGGGTCTTACCGGGCTCTGCCCGACTCCTACTCCCAGAGCTGGCACAGGGAGGATGGGAAGCAGGTCCTCAGGCAGGGCGTCCCACTGAGGCTGAGCTGGAGCATTAGGCCATGGGGCGGTGCTGGCAGTGACGATGGCCATCCCATGGAACTCAGAGGGGGCCCTGCCCTGCCCTGTATTCAGCTGTGGTGGGCCCGTGGGCTCTAGAGGCTGCAGGAGGACCTGGCCGAGTCTCTCCACGGTGGCAGCCGCCCCGTGGTGCTGGCAGGGCTTGTTCCTTCTGTCAGGAACATGTGAGTGGGTCCCACGGCTGTGCACAGGGGCTGCTCAGGCTCCAGGGGCATTCTCTGGGGGATTCCTGCTCTACCATGCTCACCCATGACCGCTCACAAGTGCAACACCTCCTGTGCCTCAGCTTTCTGTCTGCAAAGTAGAGTATCTGCCAGGATTAGAGGTGAAGCTTGCGAAGGGGTGGCCTCTCCCCAGGCAGCAGCAGCAGCAGAGCCCCAGGCCCTTGGGCCACACCGCTAGGGTGCCGGGGTGGCCAGGAGGTCCTGAGAAGGGGGTCCTTTGGTTCCACTGGGGTGTGATGGACACTCAGCTCCTGGAGGTGGGTGTGGCAGGCAGGGCTGGGTGCTAGAGACTGGGATCTTGGCACTGAGCCTGGAGTGGCACCCCTGCCCACTGGCATTGGATTCCAGAGCCCCGGGGCAGAGGGAGGGTGGACATGGGCCAAGGGGGCAGTGGAAGGGAAGCCAAAGGTCAAAGGTTTGTATGACTCATTCAAGGTCACCAAGCAGTCCCAGCAGAGCCAGCCCCAGTCTGGGGAGTCCCAGCCCCCACCCTCTTTACTGGACCCCAGAGGCAGGCCAGCCCCCTGGCCCCAGTACTGGTTCCATCTGCAGGTGACTTCTCACCCACAGCAAGGTGCCCTTGGCCCTCCTGAAGCCACACATGGCTGACCTGGCTGGTCAGGCCATCCTGCCTGGTCTTCCAGACCCCTCAGCCTCCACTGACACTTGCTGACCTGGCCTCTCCAAGGACGCGGGTCTGCCCTCGGGGGCCACTGTTCCCAGGCCATGCTCCCCCAGGGCCTCGGGCCTCCCAGATCCACAGGCTGCCCCTGTGGCTTCCTCAGCCTCCAGGGCTGGGCCTGCTCCTCCCGGGCTGGGCCAGTCGCCCATGCTGAGGCAGCCCTCAGACAGCTGGGGGGCCGGCGCCCTGCGCTCCGTGTGTCCTCAGAGGCTGAGGTGCAGTTGAGAACCCGCCGCCTCCGGTCCAGAGCCCCCCAGGCCCGCCCGGCCCAAAGCTCTGCGCGGACAATGGGGCGCGGCGGCCCAGCGGGCGGGCCGCGGCCGGAGCGCACGGAGCGCAAGGAGCCCGGGGCGCTCGCAGGCCTCCCGGCTCCGGGACAACATCCCCGCTCCACCCTGCCCTTCCCCGCAGCGCTGAGTGGGGACCGGGGAGGGGCGGTCGGGGTTCGGGTGAAGGGGGTTCAGGGCGCCGAAAGGACCCGGGAGGGGACGGAGAGAACAGGCACGGAGAGGGGACAGGCAGGCAGAAGGAGCAGGGCGGCGGGGACGCACGCAGGCGGGAGAGCGCTGCAGCCTCACCTGTGCGGGGACCCGGGCCGCCCGCCTCAGGCAGCAGCAGCTCGGCGCGAGCAGCCTCCCCAGGCATGGCCTGGCCGTGCGCCCGTCCCTCCGTCCCGGGTCCGTCTGTGAGTCCGTCCCGCGGAGCCTGCGCGGCCACCGCCCCTCGGCCAGGGGGTGGAGGGGGTCAGTGGGTGACGTCAGCGCCGCCCCGCCCGCAGGGCGCCCCGAGTGAGCGTGCGCGGGCGCGCCAGGCACTGCGGAGCGCGGGGGGCGGGGGCCTCCCCCCGACCCGGCTGCGCCCTCCTCCCGCGGCGCGCGGCCCCGCCTTTCCCGCAGCATCCCCTCTTTAACTGGAAAGGGGTTCGGGGCCAGTCGGAGGCTGGGCCGACCCAGGGCGGCATCACGCCTTAGCTGGGTCGGAGAAAGGCGGAGAGTCGGCACAACTCGGGGTGCGGGGGCTGTTGAGTGGTTGAAGGTTCTAGAGGGCAGGGGCGCTTTGGGGGAGGCGGCGGTGCAGTGCTTCTGCCCGGCCGCCCGGACCCCAGCTGCCCCGGCGCAGGGTCCACGCCCAGCCTGGCGCCTCCATCCGAGAGGTGAGCTGGCGCCGCAGCTCCGCACTGATTGGCTGGTCCTCGCACGTCGGTCTCTGTGGCAACCGCCTCCCGGCTCCATGACAACCGGAGCCGGCTGGCGGGAGCGTATTGGGTAGGCAGCCCCAGCGAAGCTCTGGGCAGGCGGGTCCCTGGGGCTCCCCGCAGCTCGGGGCTGCCCCACCCTCAGCTCTCGGGTACTGGAAGGACGGTGAAAAACAGACCTTCCTCCATTCTTGGCAGCCGCCCCTGCCACACCCCCCAGGATGCAAGCCCTCCCAAGACTTCCTGAGATGCGCCCTTGCTTCCACATAGGCTCTCCTGAGCTCAGATTCGCCGGGCACCCGCCCTGTGCCAGGCTCCAGGAGACAGATGAACATTGTCACTACCCCAGAGCTAGCCGGGGGCGGGGGTGGGGAAGGGAATAAGGGCGGCCATTGTCGTGGGGGAGTCTCCTCCGTCCTCAGTCTTCGGCTGGCTCTATCCCGGAGCCCACGGAGCCAGGGGCTGCCTGCTGGGCATCTCTCCACTGCACTGGGCACCAGGCCCCCCACGCCCCAACCTAAGCCCTGCATTCGCATCCTTCTCAGTGGCTGGAAATCTGTCCATCTATACCCCGGGCTAGAGGGGCACTCCTCCTCTTCTTCCTTCCTTTCCTCTGCACTGGTCTTCAGCCTCACCTCTCAGGCATTCCTAAGTTGCCTCCCACCATGGTCTGTTTCAGTTCAGTCCTTCATAACTCCCACTGCTCTGCCAGCCCTCCCAACAAGGGGCCAAAGGATGCACACTCCCTCCCTACAAGGCCTAAGGCCCCTCAACCCTGAGGCTCCAGGGGATGGGGATGGGGGCAATGGCAAGGGGGATCCCACCACAACAGGCTTTCAGTCCAGGAAGCACTCTCCCTACTCGTAGGCACAGGATAGTTTTCCCCTGGGAAGTGCCTCCCATCTCTTCCAGAGCACCAGCAGGGACCAGCAGCCCAAGACCAACACTGTCACAGAGCCTCTGAACATTACATTGTCACTGGAATCACAGGCCATGAAAATAACCCTGGACCTGCACACTGAGAGTTCACGTGACAACCTGCTACAATAAAAAATCTGAACGTGATAGCCTAACTGTTGAAGATACAATAAAAAAATTACCTGTCACACCAGGAAAGTCAGGGAGGAACCCAAGAACGAGGAAAATCACAACTAGAACAAGAAAAAGTAATTGACTGATGCCAGCACTGAGGTGAGGAAGATGCTGAATTATCTGACAAGGATTTTAAAACAGCCATAATAAAAGTGGTTCAACAAGTAATAACAAGTTATCTGAGGCAAATGGAAAATCTCAGCAAAGAAATAAACACAAAAAGGAACCAAATGGAAATCATAGAACAATATAGAACGATCGCTGAAATGAAAAACTTGCTGAGTGGGCTTATTCGTAGATAGAAATGACAGAGGATGTATCAGTGAGATTGAGGATGGGTCAATAGAAATTACTCAACTGAATTATAAAAAGAAAACACACTGAAAAAGAATTGAACAGAGGCTCAAGAACCTGTGGGGCAATAGCAGAAGATGCATCGTTCACATCACTGGAGTGCCAGTAAGAGGGAAGGAGAACAGGGTTGAAAAAAGTATTCAAAAAAATGACGGCTGGAGCTTCCCAAATTAGGCAACAGATAGAAACTTACAGATTCAGGTAGCTGAGAAAACCTCAAATAGGGTAAACCCAAAGAAATCCATGTCAGGACACATCACACTTTAACTTCTGAACACCAAGGACAAAGACAAAATCTTGACAGCTGCCTGGGGGAAATGACACAATACCTATAGGGATATCGATTAGAATGACGGTGGACTTCTCATCTGAAACCACAGAGGTCAGAAGGAAGCAGCACAACATTTTTTAAGTGTTGAGAGAAAAGAAAGTATCATTCAAGAATGAAGGAGAAATGCAGTCTTAGAGGAAGGAAACCTGAAGTGCTTTAACACTAGCAGACTTACCCTTAAGATTGGCTACAGGAACTTCTTCTAAAAGAAAGGAAATGACAGAAGAAGGCATCTTGGAGCATCAGGAAGGAATAAATAAATCAAGATGGAGTCCCTTAAAGTGTTCAAATAATCCACAGGAATAAAAAACAGAGGTGAGCCAGAAGACAACAATATGGCAGACTGGGACCTTAACATTCGTAAATGTAAATAGCTAAACACAAAGATTGCATTAAATACATTAAAATGTAAATACAAAAATTAAAAGGCAAAGATTAGCAGAGTGGATAAAAAAGCAAGACTGAACTATATGCTATTTATAAGAAACTCACTTCAAATTCATTGACATGGGTATCCTGGAAGTAAAATAACAGAAAAAGATACACCATGCAAATGTTAACCAAACACAACACAACACAAACACGAAAAAGCAGGCCGGCTATGTTAATATCTGAGGAAGTTGACATCAGAGCAAAGAAAATGGCTGGAGGCAAACAGGGACATTATGTAATGACACATTATATAGTGGATCAGTCCTCCAGGAGGACCTAACAATCCTAACTGTAAGCACCAAGCACCAGAGCCTCAAAGCACAGGAAGCAAAAACTGACAGTGCTGGAAGGAGGAATAGACAAATCCACAGTCACGGCTGAAGACTTCACCAACACCTCTCAACACCCGACAGGACTACTGGACAGAAAACCAGCACGGGCACATAACAGCTCGACCACCCCACCACCACCAGCATCCGATCAACATAGCACTCTTCACCCAACAACAGCAGAATACATCTCTTTAAAGTGGGGAATATTCCCCAAGACACATCGTAAAGCAAACATCAACACATTTAAAATAACTGAAATCAGAATACGTACTCAGACCACAATGGACTCAAACTACAAATCATTAACAGAAAGACAACAGGAAAATCTCAAAACACTGGGAAGTAAACAATACGCTTCTAAATAATTCCTGATTCAAAGAGGAAGTACCCCAGCTAATTTTTTAAAAACACAGAACTGAATGAAAACACATACAGAACATCCAAGTATGGGTCTGCAGTTACAACAGGACTGAGAGGGCACATTCACAGCACATCGGAAGAGGAGACGTCTCGATCAGCCATCTTGGTTCCTACCTCACGAAACTAGGGAAAGAGCAAAAGAAATCAAAACAAGCAGAAAGAAGGAAATAATAAAGTCAAGAGTAGAAATCAATGAAGTTGAAAACAGGAAGACAATAGAGGAAATCAATGAAACAAAAAATGGTTATCTGGAAAATCAATAAAATTCATAAACCTATAGCAAGATTGACCAAAATAAAGAGAGAAGACACAAATGACCAGCATCAGGAATGCAGTGGGGGCTGTGATGGTTAATTTTGTGTGTCAGCTAGACTGGGCTAGGGAGTACCCAGCTGGCTGGTAACACGTTATTTCTTGGTGCATCTGTGAGGATGTCTCTGGAGAGACTGGCATCTGATTCAGAGTGAAGAGATCCACCCTCAGGAATGTGGGTGGGCATCGTCCAATCTGTTGGGAGCCCAAGAGGCACAAAAAGGTAAAGGAAAGGCGAATTCTCTCTCTCTTGTTGAGCTGGGATGTTGGTCTTCTCCTGCTCTCGGACATTGCAGCTCCTGGTTTTTGAGCCTTTGGACTCCAAGACTGACACCCGTGGACCTGTTCTCAGGCCTTTGTACTTGGATGGAATTCTACCACTGGCCACAGCTGTCCAGCTTGCAGACAGCAGATTGTGGGACTTCTTGGCCTCCAGAACTGGGTGGAACAATTCCTATAATAAACCTCCTCTTACATCCATGTCTATAGCTCCTGTTGGTTCTGTTTCTCTGGAGAATGCTGACTAATAACAGGGCTGATACTATAGAGCCTGAAGACATTACAAGGATACTAAGAGAATGCTACAAACAACTTAATGCTCCTAAATTCAACAACTTTGAAGAAATGGGCCAGTTACATGAAAATTAAAATCTACCAAAATGAAATAGATAATCTGAATAGTCCTATAACCATGGAAAAAAATGGATTTTTTTTTATAGTCAGCACCATGCTTTTTTTTTTTTTTTAAGATTGGCATCTGAGCTAACAACTGTTGCCAATCTTTTTTTTTTTCTGCTTTATCTCCCCAAATCCCCCCAGTACATAGTTGTATATTTTAGTTGTAGGTCCTTCTAGTTGTGGCATGTGGGATCCCACCTCAACATGGCCTGATGAGCAGTGCCATGTCCATGCTTAGGATCCAAACCAGCGAAACCCTGGGTCACCGCAGTGGAGTGCTTGAACTTAACCACTCGGCCACGGGGCTGGCCCCCCAAAAATTGAATTTTTAATTTAAAAACATCCCCAAAGAAATCTTTAGGCCAAGATGGTTTCAATGGAGAATTCTACCAAGTATTTAAAGTAGAATTAACATTAATTTTAAACAAACTCTTCCAGAAAACCGAAGAGGAGGGAATACTTCCTAACTTATTTTATGAGACAAGAAATACCCTGATACTAAAACCAGGCAAAGACAGTACGAAAAACAAACGCTATAGACCAATATCTCCCATTAACTTAGGGACAAGTTTTTATTTTATTTTATTTCTCAATAAAATATTGGAAAATCAAATCCAACAATGTATAAAAAGAATTATACCCCACAACCAAATGCAATTTATTCCAGGTATGCAAGGGTGGTTCAACACTTGAAAATCAATGTAACCCAGCATACCAACAGACTAAAGAAAAACTATATGATAATGTAACTGATACAGAAAAAGCATTTGACATAATCCAACAGCCATTTAGGTTTTTTCTTTTTTGGTGAGGAAGATTGGCCCTGAGCTAACATCTGTGCCAATCTTCCTCTAGTTTGAATGTGTGTTGCTGTCACAGCCTGGCTTGATGAGTGGTGTAGGTCTGCGCCCAGGATCCCAACCCGCAAACCTTGGGCCACTGAAGCAGACCATGCTGAACTTAACCACTAAGCCACTGGGCCGGCCCCTACATTTTAAAAAACTTCTCAGCAAGTTGAAATAAACTTGACCA